CTTTAGATGCGTTAGCATGTTAGACGTGTTTCCAAGTACATACCCGACCGCTGTTCTGCAGTGTCGGCACACTGCTTTTGTCTTGTCCACTTGTTTATTTCCATCTTCGTATTTTACCCTGAAACCAAAGTGTTCCCAAACGGAGGACTTAAGGTTCGCGGGTGGGTCTTCAGGTTCATCAGGCTCACTTGCCATGTTGTCAAAATGCGAGAATGTGCTGCACAAAGTGAAAGCGGAGATTTACGGGACTTGGTCCGTCACTTCATTATGTCCGTCGGGGAACTATATATTTTAAATGGTTTGGCTCGCAAAAACGGCATTAAAATAAAACAAAATAATATCCTGCGCCCAATAATTCGGTACAGGGTCATGCCAAACTGAAAGTCGCGTACCGAACAGTTCGACACAAATACATGTACCGTTACGGCCCTAGTTATCAGTATCGGTTAAGAAAAATCCCTATTGGTGCATCCCTAGTTTTTTTCAATATCTCAGATAAGCAAACATACACGCCATGATAACTGTCAACTTCCATATCACAGTATACCTTGAAAGTGGTACATTGCTGCAACCTTACACCCCCCCCCCCCACACACACACACACACACACACACACACGTACATGTGTGTCCCTGCCAGTGTTAAAATTAAATCGTGCTAATCACCCTGTACTGCCATCTCCATATTGTAACAGCTTGGTTTAAATTTCCACTCTCGGCTACTTTCAACAGCTCAGGCTCGTTGGAGATGAGTCAGGCCTGCGCAGATTTGATCACCAGTGATCGCAGCACAATGCATGCTGGTTAGATTTGTGTCCAACTTCATCCTGACTTGCTCTTCCCTCATTCAAAAGGGATTTTCGAAGGGAGATACAAAATGGCGGCGTAAACAGTATATAGTGGATAAACTTGGTGAGACAGTGGACACAGTACATCGCTTGGGAAAGTAGAATGACGCCACTACCAACAAAATGCCCAGACCAATAATCATACAGTTTGCAATGCCAACTATTCAAGATGAGATATGGAAAAAATCAAGAGAGGCGAGAGTCTGCAAAGAGATGAACATTCAGTTCAAGGAGGACTTTTCAAAGGAGGAT